GATCGAGGATGCTGTGCCCGGTGTGTGTGGCGACGCTGCGGAGTTGGTGGCGGCTGGCGGTGATTCCGCTGCGATTGAGGATGCTGTGCCCGGTGTGTGTGGCGACACTGCGGAGTTGGTGGCAGCTGGCGGTGATTCCGCTGCGATTGAGGATGCTTTGCGCTCTGGGGAACCTGGTTTAGGTTTTGTGTATTGTTGTGAAGTGGGGTGCTTGAACTCTTGTTTTAAGGAGGAAGCGATTCGTGAAGAGGCTCTATTTTGTGCTGAAGAGTTGCTTCAAAGTGAGGAGGATGAACGATGTCTTATTGCTGAGGATGAGCGTTCGTTGTGGAAAAGGTTAAAGCGACATTCTGCGGTTCCTGTTGTTGCTGTGACGACTTCAGGTTGCCGTGGCGATAGTGGTTTGAACTCGATGCGTTCAGTCCGGGTGCGGGATTTTGCGCTTGAGCGTTGGGTGGTGAGGAACCGTTGATGTTATGGTTGGCTGTGCTGTGTTCCGGTGACTGAGAGGTGACCGGTTTTTTTTTTCTTCAGGCATCTTTTACTGCGACTAGCGATTTAAATTTTTCTGTGTGCGGATTAAATTCTGTTTTCCGTGCCAATTATTTTTTTTTTTGTTTTGTTGAACGGATGAGGGCCCTTTTTTTTTCTTGGGGATGTAAACGATATTTTTACGGCAAGAAGAAATAGTGTCGTTTGGATTCTGCTCCAAGTTTTTTTGGTGTTCTCTGCGCTGATGCATGATGCGATGCGCGGGCATCGTGGGTCGTCCCACTGTCGCAGGTGAGAGTGAAGCTGTCGGGTGAGCCTTGTGGCTGGGTAGGCGGTGCGGTGGACGGAATTATCTGCATCTGCTGTTTTGTGGAATTCTGTGTGTCCTTTATGTAAATAAATATGTTTACATTTACGGTGATGTTGTGTGCTTTGTTTTTGTATTTGCCTGCCGTTTCTATTGTGTGTTGCAAACCTTTTGTCTTGATTTTTTTTTGGTCTGTAAGTTAAGTGTGTGCGTGAGTAGGGTTTTGCACCATGAGCGTGGTGAATATCCTAACCCCTGGGGAGCGGCGTTTCCTAGCTGAGGCTCTGGAGCTCGCGGAGGCCAAGGAGGCGCTTGAGGAGTCTGAAGTGCCGCCGGAGTATTTGCAGGGGGGTTTGGATATGGATATAGATCTGGATCTGGATCTGGAGCAGCAACACCTTGTGTCACCCTCACCGGTGCGAACTAAACCGAAGAACGTGAAACCACCCGATGCTCTCGCGCGCTTCTCAGAGCAACTGCATCAAGAGTACGAGTTGTGGGATCGCGTGGAGCGCAGCCTTGAGCTGCCTTTTGTGTACCGCAGCGAGGAGAGTAAGACGCTGTCGCTTAAGATGCTGCGACGCATTCCTGTGCTGCAGCCCCTTTCCGAAGGTGACCTTGAGGTGATCTGCTCGCACATGGAGGTTGTACAGCTACACTCCAATGAGACACTAGCTGGGAAGCCGCCCTTTGCATTGCCCCCCACCAACATCTCGCCTGGTTCCTCGGCATTGATGCTATGTGACCCGGATTACAGCAGGCCTGACCTTCTCGTTGACGCCGACGCAGTGGATGAGGCACCTACACAGGGGAAGAAAGAGACCCGCGATCGTCTGATGAGCGAGGAACAGCCAATAGCGCAGTACGTCTATGTGCTACTTCGCGGCCGTGTTGTGCTTCGCATTCCGTCGCTGCGCACCGCCGTGGATGCTTTTGTAGAGCCTTACGAAATGTTTGCAATGCCTGTGACTGTGACAGCCCTACCGCCGGGCTCACGCTACGAAACGGACGCGGACTGCATGCTGCTGCGCCTGATGCGCGATGCAGATCTCGCGCTGGACCGCGTGATTGGCCGCCTTGAGAAGCGACTTGTTGGGTCGCAGGTGACTTTCCTGCGACGGCAGCTCCGTGCGAAGGTGTTTACGCACTGGACGCAGGAAGAGTTTGAGGAGTGTGCGCGGGCGCTTGTGCCGTTGCGTGTTTCGTGGCGCCAAGTAATTGTTGATCAGGGAGACGATTCCGACGCCATGTACTTCATCAAGGAGGGCCAATGCATAGTGGTGCGCAAGGTGCCACTCCACCGCCAGCATGAAAGACAGCAGCAGAAGCGGCAGGAACAAGACCAAAAAGTGTCCCATTCATCCAGAGCTTCTGTTACGCCGCTGCGTCGCCGATCACCGTTGCGGCGCGCCGAAGCGAACAATCGACAATCACCGACGAATTCGTCGCCGTCATCGCCAGCGCTGCCGGCGAAGTTGATGGAACTTGTGACGCTGCGCGAAGGTGAGTTCTTTGGCGAGTTGGGTCTTCTGAATCATTGCGTTGATTGGAAGCCCGACGTTGTTTCTGTTTGGTCTGGCGCGTACTGGCACAACACGCTCCACACCGCCCTCCGCGCACCGGTCGACATCGCCGCGTTAGAGGGCGAAGCGGCGTGGCGCTCTGCACCACACTCGCCGAGAGAAGGCGACACGGCAAGCGAGGGTGCCTCTGCGAGCCTCAACAAGGACGTGTTCCCGTCGCTTCCGATGAAGCGTCAGGCTACGGTGTATACAAAGTGCCCCTGTGTGATACTTATGTTGACTTATGATCGCTGTCGTGATCTCTTTGGCAACCGTGTTTACGCGCAGCTGAAAGAGTTTGCGAGGGGGTATCCATCCTGTGAGGACATTGAGGTACAGTACGAGCGTCAGCGCAAGTGGCTGCATTACCGTAAAGCATTGGCAAATGAGGTTATGTCGGAGTCGAGTAGTGCGGTGCGGCAGCAGCCGAAGCTGTCACCCATCCGCTTCCGGTGACAAACTCCTGTGGATTGTTGGCTTCAGGTTTTTGAACAGGCGAAATGTAAAACACACATTGATGGTTTTGCGTATGTTTTATCCGTAGTTTTCACACTCCGTGTGCGAGTGTATGTGTGCAAGTTTGTAAGGTGAAGAGGCATCTGTCAGGCTAACGGTGTCCTTGTCTGCCTTCCACTCTACTGTTCTTGCTGCTGTGGTATTCTGCTACTTGTGTTTCGTGTTTTTTTGATGTTTTCTGTGTATGATTTATTTGCATATGCGTACATGCATGTACTTTCTGCTTCTGTGGATGACAGCAGAGGTGTGATGGGTGGCTTGCTAGATGAGGTGTCGCTGCGGGAGTTCTACGAATTTGTGTACCCCGTGGATCTTGTGGTGCGGTGGTTGTCATACAATCTCTCTGTCGTAGACAAAGCAGCGGCATCCAATACATACCCGACAGCGGCTTCGTTGTCCACATCGTCACTGTCACCAGACGACGTCGTACAAAAAGAGCAGAGAAATGCTGTCGCGGATGGTTACCTCGCACGGCGGGAGTTCTGTTTCACGCTACTTGGGGACATATTCTCCCGATTTCGCAGCTACAGTAGCGCAGCTGAATTGCGCCGTGAACTTATTCGGTGCTACCCTGAGAAGATTGATGTGGGCGCGGTGTACACAATACGGCCGAATCAGAAGCAGAGCGTGGCAAGCATTCTCCCAGTGGAACGCGAGCTCGTGTTTGATATTGACATGAGTGACTATGATAGTGTACGCTCCTGCTGCAGTGGTAAGTCGATTTGCCGCTACTGCTGGGCTTGGATGGCGTGTGCGGCCCATGTGCTGCGAACTGTGCTAGAGGAGGATTTCGGGTTCCACTACATCTTGCCTGTTTTCTCTGGCCGTCGCGGCATCCACCTGTGGGTGTGCGACAAGCGTGCGTGCAAGATGCACGATGATGAACGTACCGCACTGGTGGGGTACATGACTGTGGTTGCCCCGAAGGCATCGCGCCACGCGGTGGTGGCCGACTTTGTGAACGGCAGGCCGATCCACCCTACCATCCGTCACGTGCAGCTCAGCGTAATTGACCCCGCCTTCACAGAGTTGTTCCTCAACTCGTCCCCGGAGAACCCCAACAACGTGTTGCACCCGAAGGGTGCCAGCGTTGTGTACGGGGCGATTGTTGCGGCGCTAAAATCGGGCTCCCGCCGAGATGTGGAGCAGCGGTTCCTGCAGCAGGTGCCTTTTCAAGAGGGCAACGTGCTCGACTGGGGCTACGTGCTTCGGGCCCTTGGCGATGCGGCGGCCAATGTGACGGCGGCAGCACAGATCCTTATTATGTACCCGCGTCTGGATGAGCATGTTAGTACGCGGCGAGACCATCTGCTGAAGCTGCCGTTCTGCGTGCACCCCGGCACGGCGTCGCTGTGCTGCCCGCTAGAGTGGGACGAGGTCGTGAGCTTCGACCCCGTCGAGGACCCACCGAAGCTGCAGGAGATGCTGTTGCATCGCCACATGGACCAGAAGTGGGTGCAGCCGATGCAGCGCATGCTGCTGGAGATGAGTCAGGACCCAGCGGAGAAACGGTAATTAGTGACTTTCAAGGCTGAATTTTTTCCCCCCTTGTTACTCGAACTACGACTATAGATTCCTCGCATAGACAGAACAAGGCCCCGAAAATGCTGAGCATCAACGGATGCTGCATGTGGGTTTTTGGGACGGCTTAGCCCCTGCTTTGAGAAGGTTAAGAGGCGCACTGGTTTGGGGGAGGAACGTGACATAATTTACGTTCTATTCCCTCTTCTCTCTCCCCCCCGCCAAGACGACAGCTGCCGGAAACAGTTTTGTGTGTCTTTTCTCTCATTTTTTTTTTTTTGCCTTTCCTTCACGTCGAAGAGAAACATCACAAAAAAGTCTGTGGGAGTTCACATCCGGGTGAGTGACGTGGTCGGATGTTCGCTTTCCTTCCACCTGCGAAGGTCGCCAGGACGCAGCGCTCGCCACTGAGCAGCACCGAGACGCTCAGCGAGACAACTCCATTAACAGCTCCAGCGGTCGTGGCGGCAAACTCATTTACTTCAATAGGGGGGGAGCGTGTGCGGCCGACGTCGATCGCCGACGCGGAGATACGCATGGGGAGCATGACGATTCGTCCGTCCGTGTTTCTCTCGGGCATTGGGGCATACAGCTGCTGGATCGTTGACGAAAACACGCGCCTGCTGCGTGTGTGGAACATGAGGAAACCGTTCTGGCAGCGCACAGCCCCCCGCATGGCGCAGATCCCCACCTTCACTGAGGACGAGGGGCTCCCACTCTTTGTGGCGGAGCTTGACTCCGATGAGGAATCGCTGGCGTTCTGCACTGACTACGGTGCCGTCTCCAGCCTTGACCATTCGGTCGAGTTCCGCTTCTACAGCGAGGACGACGCCATTTCCGTGTCAGCCTTCGCATGCCGCCGAGAAGGTGACGCTATGCTCACGGCAGTGGGGACCGCTGCAGGTGCAGTGCTCGTCGCGATCAAGGTAGATGGCGAGCGCGTCGTTGCGGACTTTGATCGCGCGGAATGCCGGGTTTCGGTGCGCACATCGCCGCTGTCGTCATCGATGGGGGCGTGGTGGCGCGCATGGTTGCCAGGGTGGGCGGGGGCGGGGGCGGCGGCGAAGGAGAACAGCACCGCCAATAACCAATACTGCAGCAGCGGAGGCGCAGATAGTGGACACGAAATTACGTTGCTGCGCTTCCGCGCAGCCAATGCAACGCAACTGTGGGCCATCAACGCCGCTTCGGAGGTCTTCTTACTCGAATTTGGCCCACTGCACTGCCGTCATGCGGGCGATCGTCGTGTCCGTGCCAAGTGGGCGACGAACATTTCTGCGATGCTGCAGCACCAGTGCCGTGTGGTGGCCTTTGACGAAAGCGCGTCGCAGCTCTGCTGTCTGGTGTATATGGTGCCGTGCGGTGGGCACGAGGCAAGCTTGGAGCTCGTGATGCTGGATACCAATAATGGTGCGGTGCGACAGACATTGAGCATGCAGTCCATTGGATCGCTGGCCAAAACAGTGTTTAGCAGTCCTCTGCAACACACGAAGGTTTACCTTGATGAAGCACGTCACGTGGTGACGGTGCTTGCAGGGCACTTCTGCGTGCGTCTTAACACCCGCGTGGGCGTACGAAGTCCGTGCTCCAGTGAAGATGTTCACATGCTGCGCGGCGTGGAGCGGCCACTCGGCAGTTCACTTCTGTCGGACGGCCGGATTGTGACTATAGACATTAACGGGCCCGTGGAATCCGTCATCCGCGCTGAGGGTGCGATGATAGAACCTACCAGTAATATCAGTACAGAGCAGCACAAATCTCGTGACGCGTGCCACAGGTCCCACTTCACGGGCAAACGCGAGGTCCTCGCGGATATGGCACAACATGTTAATGGCATTCTTCAAACGCTTCACATTGACGCCAAAATGTCTCTTGATTCAGCGGTGCTGGAGGCAAGTGAGGCCATTTGCTCGCATCAGGTGCCACACGAGGGCAATTGGGCACGTGCGGACCTCAATGTGGAGGATGAGAACATGGTGATGCACGTGACGCACAGCCTTGTGCAGCGGCAGCAGGAGCACCGCCGCTTCCTTTTGACAGTGCTTCTGCATAATGAAATCGGGCCGCTTCTTCAGCCTCAGACAATTGCGCGGCTGCTGTCAATGCAGGAAGCTCTACTTGCCATGGTAGCGATTCGACGCCTGCAGAACGACAGTTCCTATCCGTTGTCCACTACTACTGACGTTGAATTTGATGTGCTAACACCGCTTTACCGCCGCGCTACCGCAACTGAGCTACAACAGCAAGGCGCCGGATCCTCAGTGGAAACGTACCTTCGTTTAGCACGAAGCTCGATTGAGCGCGAGCAGTGCCAGCAGCTGTTGCGTAAGGCCGTAATCCAAGTTGCGGATCGCATTCGTTGTGAACCCACATCCACACCTTCGGCGAATGCACGGGCCACAGCGGCGGAAATTGTCTTTGGGGAACCGAGCCATATCAGTATGCTGTTAAAGGTTCTCGGTGAGCACTTCTGTGAGACGCAGCGTAGTGTGCTGGTGGATCATCGCACTAAATTTGAAGAGGCGATGGCTGTAGCCACAATTTTTGTTCTCGTTGCACGTGCTGTCGACGAGTCACGTGAAGACATGGCACAGTTCTACGCCACACCTCGCAACGTTCGTATAATGCAGTGGACAAGCGCGGAATTGGAGGACTACGGAATCCAACTCCAGGTGGCGAGCGCGTGTACAACTCTGTCCAATGCATTGGCCGAAGTCGTGGGATCTTCTGTAATAAATAATGCCACCACAATCGAAGCAGCGTCAAGTCCTGCCCCGGAGAACGCGGCGTCTTCAGCGTGGACCGTTTCCCTGGCAGATCAGCTGCGTCTGCTTGATCTTCTTGCTTTCATTATCCACTTCTCTTTCCGCAACCACTCACAGGGCGGCCCTGCCTTCTACGCTAACGCCATGAAGTGCACACTTTTCCGCGAGCCATTCCTGCACGAGCCTCTCGGCTACCCGTTTGGCGTCCCGCGCCCCTCGACAGATGCGACGCTTGGTGCCACAGTGCTGCACCTGTGTGAGGAGCTAGCGCTGGAGTTCACGGTGAGTGACGTCCTGGTTGCCCTCTGTCTTGCAGAGCCAGTAGAGGACCCTCTGCAAGAAAGGCGAAAGTATGAGAAGTTAGGCACCTTTTGTCAGCGCAACCCTGAGATGTACAACATCGCCCTTCATGCGCTACTGTCACAGCGCCGAGAATGGGAACTACAGTTGTTACCGGAGCTACTGCCAGAGTATGATGCAGCAGCCGTAGCACGCGACACGTTTCTCATGCGAGATGCACCGCAGTTGGCGTGGCTGGTGAAACCAACAGCATTCCAGGCGCTGGTCGATGAAGGTGTGTGGTCTCCGTCGTATCTTGCCTACGGTGACGACCTCGTGACACACCGCTCGCTTTGTCTTTCCATGGCAAAATTGGCATGGGTCGCCGCGGGCGCTCCGACCAGCAGCTCGTACTATGCTCTACGACTTGACGACGAGGTGGTGGCGGCACAGAAGGCGCATCTACTGCCAGAGACCAAAAATGTGGAGTTGGGCCCCGCCGAAATTGTACAGCGACTACTGAAACTGCAGTCACCGGATGCGTGGGTCTCTGCAACACTGGTCGCCTGCTTGGTTGAGGAGGAACTGCGCGAGGACCTCCTGACGCAGATTGTGCGTCGGGCGAAGCGGCATGACGGAGAGGCCTTGTTGAAGATTTTCCACGATGGAGCAAGTGAGCTTGAGGTGTCGCGCGCACTGGAGGCAACCGCTACTGGACGCATTCTGATTGCCGCGGCGAATGCACAGTGCGCGTCGTACGTGGCTCGTGTCTGGACGAACGTCCTTGACACCACAGAGCAGCGGCTGCTGGCATCGTGGATGCAGGTGCGGGCGACGGGCGTGGCGGCTTGAGTGGGTGTGAGGTGGTTAACTTCGCAGGCGTGACTGTGTCTGCCCGTGTATATGTGTGTGTGTGTGTGTGTGTGTGAAGAGAAAGGGCGAGGAACAGAGAGAGAGAGAGAGGAGGGCTTCCCTTTCGGTAACATGTGGGGAAATGGCTCCGCGACATAAGAGACGACCGGATACACGGAGAGAAACGAAAGGAACGCCGTTGGCGGCATAGCGGTTGAAGAATAAGAGAAAAAATGGGGGGTCCACACATACACGCACCACATGAAGAAAAAAAAATGAAAGAATCGAAGTGACCAACAGAAAAAAAAAAGAATTGTGGCATATCTGTCTGTGTTTCTGTTTTGTCTGCTGTAAGATACATGCTTGACTTGTAACCGCTGGAGTAGACCGGCTTCTTGCTGTCAGCGTCTTTCCATTGCTCGTGTGTGTTTTTTTCTTTATTTCTTTTTTCGGTGGCGGTGTGGGGGGGGACAAAACAAAGTGTGGTGTGACCGTGGCAGAACTATATCGCTGGCAGCGGTCATAGGCACAAGGAGAGATGTGCAGCGGCTCTGCAAATGGGACCATGATGGAATTCTCGTCGTTGTCGTTGCTGGAGCTAAAGAAGCAGCAGGCGTCGCTGCTTTTTATCGCCTGGGACGACGACGAGTTTGGCCGCATCGAATGTGTCCAGCTTCGCCCCATTCTTTACGCCCTCTTCCCCTCTGAGGGGACGACGACTGCGCTTAGTTTGCGTGAGATACGTGATGCATTCGCTGTGGCGGTTGGACAGCCGTGGTCGCCGAAGCGTCGCGTGACGCTTTCGGAGGTTCTTGCCGTGGTGGATGCGCTGTGGGCCTCCCCCGAGCGGCGTCTGCGGATGGTGCGGGCGTGCCTGCGCGGCGTGTTCGCCTCCGTGTTTGGAGCGCAGCGGGTGGTGTCGAAGGCGGCGCTCGTGGAGGCGGGGAGGAGCATGACGGGCGCAGCTGCGGCTGCCGGCGTAGCGGAGTCTATTCTCCGCAGTGCGTCTGCCACCGCCTCATGCGACACGGTGGATGTGGAGAGCTTCTGTGAGCTGCTGCTGCCTTCGATGGGGTGCTAGTAGGCGGAGTGGGGGATGCGTGGAGTGATGCTGGCGAAAAGTTCCTTGTCGGGGTAGTGTGGCAAAGCGCGCGGACGACGTCGCGACAGCCATACATATATATATATATATATGCATATACATATGCCGGTGTGCATATGGTTTTAAATGCATTTCTCTCAATCTATACATATTTATTTGTAGAGCGTTTAGAAAATATGTCCTTAAGCGCATGTGAATGCGTTTCTGTCTCTCTGCTATAGCTACTCCAACGTGCTTCGAAGATATGCGAATGCATACACGCACGCACATGGATTTATATACGTCTACACGTTGTGAGAACGACCCGCATTTTTATTTCGTTTCCCCATCATCTCCCACCTAATGCTTAGTGCTCCCCAGTTATAAGGCGGTCTCCGCAACAGATCAACGGCTACATAAAAGGTCTAGGGAATGTCCGGGTGGGAGGCTGATCAGGCTGCAGCAGCAGCAGCAGCTCACGCAAAAAGTGGATCACTGATGCGGAAGTTGGTACAGATGAAGCTGCCTATGCTGCATATGACCTCTGATGACACGATGAGCACGCCTTGGACTACCACCGTGCACCCACTGCTGAGCTCCAGCACAAGGGAGCCGCTCCCGCGTGTCTCAATGGTGCGGACATCTATTTCCGGCGGTGCCCGGGCTGGCAGCGGTAATGTGGCGCAGCGGTTAGAAAGTCTCCGTACCGTTGAGGATGCGGAAGCAGCAGCAGGATTGATGGAAAAGCTGCGTCGACTCGTTGTGCTGCAGCGAAGGAAATATAAGGAGCTTCTTAAGATGGAGGAAGATGCCTTTAAGAGCTTAGTGCGCCAAGCAGAGTCAAGTGTGGAAAGCATTACCTCCTTTGTAGCGTTTCGGGAAAGAATGGAGGCGTCAGCAGAGCGGCAGCGAAAACTGATGGTTCCGTGGCTTGAGTGCAGGTTTGCGGATAATTCTGAACGCCTCATACAAGACGAGTGGGAGGCGCGCCAATCGATCATTAGCTACGAGCGACGTTTACGGGACGCGAAGCAGCTTGTGGAGTGGATGACGGGTGCGGCCATGCGCTTCAAGCGGGCGATGGAGGTACTATTGCACGGGGAGGAATGCCGTCGTAAGTTCATTGAACGTGCCGAAATGCGAGAGGCGCGCGAGATACCAGTTCTGCGTCCATTCGTTGTGGTGTTTGAGAACCTAGGCGTGCTGGGGAAGTGCCCATTTTTGTCGGTGCAGGATTGCCCTTTTTTCTGCCGCGGCGAGGGGGTCCGCAACTCCCACTACGAAGTCAGAGAGTGGGGCAGGCGCTGATGAGTGATGCATGCTTTTTTTTTTTTTTCGGGCACGTGGTGCTGTGCTCCGTTGCGCGTGTTGGTGCTAGCCACGAAAATGTACAATTGCTCCTCATGCCCCACTGCTGCTGCTGCTAACGGACTGTGTTCTTCTTTGCGTCGGCCATGCAGCGTTGTGTTGCGCCTTTGGATAGACTGGCGTTGAAAAGTCTTTCTACGTTTTTTTTTTTGTATCGCTGCTGCGTTCTCATACTCACACACAAGTTGTGTCTCTTTCTCTCTCTCTCTTTTCTACTCATTTACGCGTACTGTGGACAGGCGAAGACATGAATGCTTCCATCACGACGCCCGTGATGGAGGACGCCGCGGTGCTCCCCACTGAGGCGCAGCACTTTCTCCAGGTGATTGCCGACATGCAGCGTGAGGCGGAACAGCGTCGCCGTCTCCTAGACGAACTGCGGCAAACCGAGGCCAAGGCGAGGAGTGAGCAGGAGAAGGTCTACGCAGCGCGTGACGCATCAGTGGCGCGCCTAGCACACACAAATGCGGAATCGCTGCAGCTGCAGGTGCAGTTGCAAGACCTCTGCAACCAACAGAAAGAGGCGGAGGCGACTGTTTTGGAATTGCGACGACAGAAGATGCAGTGGGAGGCGTTCCTCGCACAGCAGCAACAAGAAGATCAGGAGATGTCCTCCTCTCTATTTTCTAAAGATGCAGCGAGCGGGGACACTAACAACAGAACTGTAGGAGACGTACTTCGCGTAAAACGTGCCCTGCGCATTTGGGGCCAGCTGCCGCACCGTGCCACATACCTGCAGGAGCTTCGAACCGCCGTGGCGGAACTCTTTGCGGATCCACATGGCAACACGCACCCCAGTGGTGCGAGCCTTCCCGACTGGGCGACGGTTTGTTCCCGTCTGCAGTCACTGAGCCAGGAGGAAAAGGCTGTCCTGTTGCTTCTGCCCTTTCCAACATGACAAGGCTAAACCTCTCCGTTGGCAGACTTTGCTTAAAATACCCTCTCCCCTTTTTTTTATGCTTTAGAACACGAGAAAAATTCCCTTCTGGTTGGGTCCAGGGGTAATCCCAGGTTGTGTTTTGTTTGCGTCTGAGTTTTACCTCTTCTTGCAGTTGCAGTTTCGGTCGACAGAAACGCAGGGGGAAGCCAGAGTAAAAAAGGGGGACGTGTGCTGCAGGAAGCATACGGATTAGGGAGGACCCCTTGAGGACAGAAAAGGGATAGACCGATAACAACAAAGAATGAAGGCAGATGTCCTAAGTGGGCGCTGTCTCAGCAATGCGGTGCTGGCGCGCATCAAGCAGGAGATGCCGCTCCTGCGACGACCGCCATGCCTAGCGGTTGTGGTTGTTGGCAGCCGCCCGGACTCTATGCGGTATATCGCGATGAAGCAGCGGGTTGCAGAGAAGTGTGGCATCCGCTTCCAACTCCACCAGCTGCCCGTGGCGGCTCCGCAGCACCAGCTACACCACGAACTGCAGTGCGTCAGCGGCGATGATTCAGTTGACGGTGTGTTGTTACAGCTGCCGTTGCCGCCTCACCTTCGCGCGTGTCCGGCGCTGCTGTGCATTCACCCGAGCAAGGACGTGGATGGTCTGCACCCACTCAACGCGGGCAACCTCTTTCTGCACGAGAACCCCATCTACGCAGACGCTCTTCACGCGGACTTCGCGGCGGCGGGGGCCGACTCACTGGTGTCACGCCGCCTGGTGGAGGGGCGTTGCTTCATTCCTTGCACCGCGATGGCGGTTCGTGCACTGCTCTTCTCGTACTTGGCGAAAACTACCGTGCCAGCAGGCGCAGCGCTGGGCCCGCGGCGGAGTCTGCACGCTGTGATCATTAACACAAGCATGGTTGTGGGCATCCCGACCGCTGCGCTGCTCCAGAAGGAGAGCAACATTACGGTGACGCTCTGCAGCCGCTCCAACGGTCTTGATGCGGTGAGGGAGATGAGCCGGCAGGCTGACATTCTTGTAACAGCGCTCGGCATCCCACGGGTGGTGACGGCGGACTTTGTAAAGAGTGGTGCTATTGTGCTGGATGTTGCCATCAACGAGGACACTAGCATGGACGGTTCCGGCAGCAGCAGTAGCACCATAAGTGATGGCAGTAGCAGTGCTGCTGTTGGGAAATTGCCAGGCCGTCGGCGCCTCTGCGGTGACGTTGATGAGGCGTCGGTGAGTACGAAGGCGGCTGCGCTGACGCCTGTGCCGGGCGGCGTCGGCCCACTGACAGTCGCGTATCTGATGCAAAACACTCTCAAAGCGTATCACTTGGCGCAGAAGAAGATCAGCCTGTTTTCATCGTTTGCCTCTGGGCACGGAGGTAGAACGCAATCAACTGGCTCTTCTTATACTACTTCTGTTGCTGCTAGTGGCGTTACAAGCTCTGTGCTCTGTGCGACAGGTGGGGCTGAGCTGACTACGGGGAATGACAGCGATAGCGGCAGCAACAGCAACGGCGGCGGCGGCGGCAGCAGCGTGGACGGGGTGACTGACGAGAGCAGTGAGGATCCGTCTGACGGCGTAGGCAGTGATAGCAGCTTTGGTGTGTGCTGACTGCCTTGGTGGATGAGTATACTGAGAGCTTCACGGCTGTGTGGGAGCCGTCATGGTGACAATGTGCTGCGTTGCTGGGCGTGTATGTATATGTGGACGAGATATAAAAAAAAAAAACGATTATACATTGTGCGAGCCAGATGTTTTTTTTTTCTGTTTACTACTACTACTACTACTACTACTACTACAGTTCTTACATGAGAGCCTAGCAGTGCGGCAGCTAATAGGCGTTTTCGGTTATTCTTGTTTTTTGGTCTTCTCTGGTTGCTGAGAATTTCGGTATTCTCTCCCATGTGCGTGGTGCGGGCATTGCCACGTTGTTTAGGATGTCCTCAGTGTAACTGGTGGAATGCCCGGTGGCTTGAAATGTTGAAGCAGTGAGTCCCTGCAGACGGTGCAGTGTGAGGCGTCAGCGACAGGGGTTGGGGGGCGAATGTCGTGGCACCACCCCAATACGTGGGTCTTGCGTTTCATGCATCCTTCTTTTCTGCCGCCTGGCAATAACCTCTCTTTGGCGTGACGTTTGCCTGTCTCTCTCACACACACACGGTCTCTCTCTCTCTCTCTCTCGCTCGCTACTCTGCAACACTCTGTTACCCTTTCTGCACTGCTGGCCTGTAGACATGCCTCTCCTCCCTTTCGTTCTTCTTCCTCTTTCCCTGTTTTTGTATGCTGCTACTGGGGCTTGCCAGTGTGTGACGCCAGACTTGTACCGTTGCGGCGGTCGAGTTGAGGGCGGTGCTCGCTCGACGGGGCACCAGAAGGAGCGGAGAGCCAAGCAGCTGTCGGCACCACACTAACACCGCAGAACTCATCATCGTCTGTTACTGCAGCAGGGGGTAGCGGGGCGGAGCAGTTCATCTTCCTTCTGTTGTACTCGATTTCCCGCCGCAAAACAACGACTGTTTAATTCCCTCTCCATCACTACCACCACCCCCACCACCACTACTACTACTACTACTACTACTACTACTACCAATACGTGAACAGAAAAGAGGAACAAGAAAGACGGGCGAGGGGGTAAAACAAAAAGAATACATCAATAGAGCGCGGCTCTCATCGAAGGCCTTAGTATACAAAGTTTACGCAGAGGCACGCAGGCCTCGAAATCGCCCTTCCCTTCTTCCCGGTGCACGCGCAGGCACCCACCCTTCACCAGCACACACGCATACGCGCGAAGGGAAAAAAAAGCAGAAGGGCAAGCCGAAGTGTAGATAGTTTCCTTCTGTTGAGGCGGCAAATAGCGGGCGCTTTTCACAGGTTCATCGGCGTCATTGCATCTCTTTCAAGCGTGTGTCTGTGTTTCTCTCTCTCTCTCTCTCTGTGGGTTACCTCGCTGCAGTAATAAAGGAACGCAAGCGTTTTACTACTTTGTTGGTTGTTGCTTCTTTTGCTGTTGGCTTGACTTGCGTCTCTTGTCTATTCCATTCGCAGCTGCCTCCCGTTCCTACCACGAGGGAGCGAAAGCAGCTTGAGGGAAGCGGAGGACGTGCAGAAGCCACGCAAACAAATACGAGGTTGGTGAATTGCTTTGCCGCGTTTAGGGAGAACGCACATCATATTAAGACGCTCTCGGAGAGAGACGGATAAGGAGAGAGAAGAAAAAAAAAAA